CACACAGATTGCTGTGCTGTGGGCCAGATCCCCACATCAGTTGATGGACTGCCAAGAGAGCTGCAGAAATGCTAGCTGTGTCTCTAGCGGTCTTGGGCTTCTGAGATGCAAAATCATCTGCTCCGGGAAGCAAGATGCATAATCAATAAGTTAATTAAATAAGAAAAGGCTGAATAATTAGAAATCTGCTTGGAGCATCTATTTGACCTCTACTCCCAAGTCCCGTAATGAAATATGCTTTGTAATCACATAAACAACTTTTACAATTTAAAAAATACATTTAAAAATTTTGCCAAAGACCAAGAAAAGTGAATCAGCTAAGGTTAGACACTTCGATTCATCACTTGAGGGCAGGACAAACCAACATTGGCAAAATCTTTGGAAGATGCCCTAGTCCTGGAGGGGCCCAGGAGAGTCTGTGGCACAAGGAGAAGGGGTTTTCTTCTGCTATCCTGATACTTTTTAAAGCTGCTTTATTTTGTTCAAGCTAACGTTTGTTGAACGCTTACTATAAGCCAGGAACCATGCCCCACTCTTTACATGCATTATTTCATTTAATCCTTACACAGCCTGTGAGGTAGGGGTTACTATTCCAAGAACCAAACCCACTGCCATCAAATTGATTCCAACTTATAGTGGCCCCATAGGGTTTCCCAGGCTGTAAATCTCTACAGAAGCAGACTGCCACGTCTTTCTCCTGCAGAGTCACTGGTGATTTCGAACCATCAACCTTTCGGTTAACAGTTAATTGCTTTAATCACTGTGCCACCAAGGCTCCTTGGGGTTACTACTAGCCCCATTTTATGGATGAGGAAACCAAGGCATAGAGAGAGGCTAGGGAAATGGCCTGATGTGGCTGAGCCAGGATTCAAGGTCAGGTCTTTTCTGACTTCAAAGTGTATACTCCCATCCACCACCTCATATAGCCTCACCAGGGACTGTGTCCAGGAAAACCCTAGGAAAGTCTGCAGATGTTTGCAACTTCTCAACCTTATCTTTCAAAAGTAGGCTGCCCTCTGCGACTTCCAAAAGGAAGAAGAGATTATCATCAATGCCTACAAAGGTTACCATTCAATTCTGTGGTTTAATTCTCAGTGTACAGCCCTGTACATGTAAAAGTGTAGGAAAATGGGATAATAATGGACATAGCTATTATTTATAAAAATGCTTCTAAGCATTTTAAATGTATTATTTAATCCTCATATCAACCTTATGAGGTGAGTGCTATTACTACCTCTATTTTACAGAGGAGGAGACTAGATCCAGAGAGGTCAAGTAAGTTGCTCAAGGTCACAGCCAGTGAGAGGTGAAGCTGCTCAGGGGTTGCTGGCTCAGGGCCCCTGACTCTAGAGCCTTCAGACTTCACCACTACACTTGGCATACACCCTAGCAATGATTCCTTTATACATAATTC